GCCAACCCTTCATCACATATTGAGAGCATATAACCAAGGAAGGGGGGAGATTGGACGAACAGGATGTGCGCTCCAGGAACCGAGAATAATATACAAAAATTACAAAAACATGCCAGCGTAACGGGCCGATAAAAATGCCGTTATAGAAATCTTTTAAACTATGCAATGCGTAGGACAGATTAAACTATACGATTGCTAGGAAAAGACTCGGCTGTGTGCGTAGCTCACTGCGCTATGTGTTGTTACAATCAATGCGCAAATCGCGTAATTGCCGCGACAAGCTATAAATGTCGCCAGCGTACGCTAGTGGCGTTTGATGGCCGGAAATGCGCGCAAGTAGCTGGAAGCGCTGTTTCAAAATGACGCGAGCAGGAAGCCTCAGATATCAATCAGATTCGGACTGAACCGGACGAGAGCGTACAGCCACGCCGTATTCTGCGGCAATATTGGTTTTGCAGCATCATGAACTGCAATCCAGGTGCGTCCGCATTCCTGTAATCGATTCGTGCCATCGCAGATACCACGATAGACTGCTACGTTAGCGCCAGCACATCTTCTGTGCCTACCATTGATCGTTAATCAGCCGTCATCGACCAGGGAACGGTTAAGTATCAGAAAGCTACCATCTGTCCCTAAAAGACTGAACGGATGGAAAAGACAACTATCTGGATTTTCATTGCATCTTCATTGCAATAGGTAGTTAAGTCAAAAGGTAGATAATGATAGCTGCCAAAAAAAATGAAACTTAGAGTGGATGGATTGTTAGTGAAAAATGTGTTGTTCAGTAAACGTGCATTTTTCTGCTAGGTTAGGAACGTTCAAAATATGTGTATAACTTTTTATGTTAGAACATTCTCACATCTCCGACCCAGAGCTATCCAAAATAACGACATATCTAAAGCCGGAGCCACAAAGTCGAAGCTTGTAACTCCCCGCTCAACGTGTGGGTGTGGTTTTCAACTCAAACTCATGACGGTTGGTCACCTCACAAGTGACGCCCGTCTAATGTTAAATGCACGCGACCAGGGCGGGGTCACTACCATAACGTTACTTATAATTCCGAATATTCCTATCTCCCCTATTGAAGTCGACAAGGCACACAAGCAGTTAAAGCCTTTCCATGCGCATCAACTTTCATGAGTCTTATCCACGTTGTCTTAAGCAAATTCCTAGAATTTCAAGTCTGAAGATATACATTTTGCTTTGCTAAATATCAGTATGTGTATAAACACAAAGTACATTCATGTGCTCTAAAAATGTAGCGCAACTAGGAAGAAATCTGTTTGAAAACCGCATGGAAAATCTCGACAATATGATGATTATGATAATAAAAAAAAGTGGACGCTCCTCTAAAATACTTTCTATTATTTAAAGAAACACTATTTTTTAAAATATTTTCGTTTTTATATCATCAGATAGGCCATCATCTAATAAACCCATTTTGATCCACGATATGTATCCATTCAGCCCTATAGTAATATAACATTTTTCATGGTATTAAAAAATGAGTGTAAATATGTTATATTTTGGCTTCACTTCTTTCCTAATATTGATACCAACCACTGTAAACAAGGAGGAATTGAACGAAATACGGTAAAATAGAAATAAATAAGCAAATCACTTTAAGAGTACTAGGAAATTCTTACTACAAGAAGGAAAAATTCAAAACAGATCTCTCTCAAATACGACGTAATGCTAAAAAAATTAAATTACTTTTCTCATGAAAGAACATGAAATGAAAGCTCTTACACGGACGCAGTCCCAAAATACTTAACAGATATTAATCTAAAAGTCTAATTCAAGGTAGAAATTTTCATAATATGGAAATAAAACATACCCGTCATGGATCTACTTTAAAACTTCGTCAAACACAGCATGAGGCATTGCAGTATCGTTGATCCTTCATTGAATACAAAGTACATAATTCATTTTGTTTTTCTTGATTGGTAGAAATAATTAATCTCATTTCAAACGCCTTCTTACTTTATCGCTACGGTGTGAAGAGAAAGTTATGTAGAGATTTAAGGAAAACTGCGAGAACTCTCTGCTTTTGGCAGAGAATCTCTGGATAAATCTAGTTGCTTTTAGAAACAAAAATCCTCTACCACCTGGTGTAGCTAGAATCCATGTTTTGTGGGTCCTTAACACCCAAAATCGAAAGATTGCAAAACGTCCGTCCGTATGCCTGCCCGCTTTCCTGTCTATTTGTCTGTCTGTGAACAACCGATATCTGCTAAAACGTTCAGCCAATTTGGTCCAAATTCATATTCTACAATCGATCTGTCTGATGTCGTAGTTTCTTGAATTGGAAATCGACATTTTAATTTTCGGGAATACTTTACATGCAGCCTCTAGGACAATTTCAAAATTTTCAAAAAATGGCTCCATCGTTTTTGATTGAATTTTGTTTTGGATAGTGTGAAAGACATTTAAGAGAATGGAGCACGTCTCAAGGTCGTTGAAAAACCTGATTTTTTGAAAATTGCAAAAGTTATAAAAAGTTTTGAAATTAGGTCATGTTCAAGTTTTTGAAAACATGAGCACTCTTGGCGTGATTCTGCATGAAAATACGGGAGAGAAAGTACGAACTGTTTTACCACCACTAGTTCAAGAAGAATTATATGAAGACTAATATTCAACCAACTTTGAGTAGTCATGAGAGTTTTGACAACTCAGTTTTTGGAGAATTAATGGTTCAGACGTCAGTGAAACAATTAATTGCAATATTTGTATTGAATGAATACTCTCTTGATTTGAGTATTTACATTGAAAAATTATGAACGTATTTCTCTTTACATTTATTTAATGCAGAACGTGCGTACACAATTAATGACCTTGCTTCACTTCACTCCATTCAAACTCTCTGATTGTTCGTTACTTTTCTGGCTTCCGAAGACCTGTAAACGCAATTTTAATGTTCATTTTTCTTGCAAAGAATGCAAGTTTGTTTTCAGTGAGCTGTTCGTAGTTATATACTTTAAGTTTCATTTAATTAATTAAAGAAATAAAAAAATAAAAATCCATTTTCGTTCTCTAGTGCTTTCTCCACTACGTGTTTCACGTATTCGAGGATATTGCGGGTAATGTGGTCTAAATTAGAAAGTATATTTGTCTATTACAGGTAAATGTATGTTCAATATTAAGTTTAAAGAAGAATAAAATTTAAAGCATTTTATTTGGATTGCCAGTTATTCATTTTCTTATATCATGTTACTAAACCTAAGTCGCATAGTCAAACCCGTCAAGGATCAGCGATGTGAATAAGCACCAATGCAAGTTGAAGGTTGCTGCGTACGACATGCACAATTGAAAGAAAGAACGCACAAAGAAAGTGGTGTTGAACATACCTGAAGGAAGTAATAGGTTATTCTTCAGAAACAATTACGCGAAACCATCCAGGCAAAGGGTACAGAGACTTCAGATGAAATAGGCCTCCCTTTAGGTAGATGACTCCAAAAATATTTGTTATTGTCATGTGAAAGCAAAATATCAACAAGGAAATCACGACTTTTCGAGTAAAATTCATATCGTGAAGTCTATTTTAAATTATGAAAACGAAGATGAACTTTGCATGTAATTGAATTGCTTCCAATCTCACGTCGTCATAGGGTCTCCAAATATTCTGATACGAAATGTGATACGAAACAAAAAGTTGGCAATCGGTTAGGCTGATAAATCAACGACTGCTCAGACAGGACGTGCGAATTATCCGCATCGGACTCAAGATAGAACTGAATTACTCGCGGGCCAAGTTGGCATCTCGATGACGGGAATTCCCTGCAATTTCCGTCTGCGCCACCCCGCCCGCGGCCGACGAGCAATGAACCCCGAGGTCGCCGGGGCCGTCGCAGTCAAAGCGGCCAGCGCCGCTGACCGCCGCCCAGACGGGCCGCTACCACCATCGCCACTCCTGGGGGCCAAGCGGACCAGGTAGTGACGCAAAGGTGCAAGGACAATCTCCAGAATACCCTCGTAACCAAGCACAACGAACGACAGAGAAGCCGGCGTGTTACGAAAAGCAGTTCAAATTAGATTTAAAACTGTTTTCAGTAGCTCTTGCGATCATTTCAGATTTAGTATCCTCGCAATAGCTAATCACCCCATTTTTTGTTTTTAGACTAATTAAATGCAGTGGATTTAAGTTCTTAGACTAATTAAATGCATGTTGAATTCAACCTACGTCTTTCTATGTGTTACGCATGATGTGTCTGTCTCGCCCAAGCACCTCCCATATGTTAGGGCAGACTGGCAAAAGCTGAAAAGATGAGGTAAGTCAGACGCAATCGATCAGCAATCAATCGATATTTTGGGCACAATGGATGGCTTCTCAATAATGCAAATTCATTTTAGCAAACAAATATTGTCCGTAAATTAGTACGCATGCCGTATACACATTAAAGTATAATTATTACAATTCGTAAACGATACGAGAATGTAATATACTCCAAAGTAGAAGTAACAGTATGTTCATTATTGTCCAATTTAGTAGTTCTAGTAATTAATTTATCTTTTTGTGAAGCAAACTTTCATGCGCAAAAATTAACATGCAGTGGAATTTCATTCGTCGCATATTTCGTAACTTCCTTCGAGTTCTTATGATCAAATGTTTTACAAATTTTATCCGTGCCCTTGTGAGAGAGTTAGTTTTGATTCGAACGCGTCAACTACTTTCCCGTAATTATAGTTCGTGTAGTATACTGGGATGTACCTTCACCGCTACAACGTGTGATCAGTCACCGGCTACATCGTGAGATCAGGCGTGGTTTTACACTCGAGTTGTCTTCTCCTGAGAGATACGCTCCCATCCGTCACCGTCGGTGCTAGAAACCTAGGACCTCTCGATCAACGACGCTTCAGAGGTAAGAGACGCACTGATCTATCGCTGACCGCCATGTTCCCGAGCACTAATAGACACCGCAACAGTAGATTAAGATCGTAATTGGATTGGATGACGTGAGGAAATTGGGGTTGTCGGAAGGCGGTGACACGTTGCGACTCACCTCCCTATCGTCACGGAAGGATCCTTGCGTGTACTCAGATGCCTTGCAACCGCTGCCATCACCGGCGCGCGCGCGCGTCGCCTTTCCCTCGGTGGCTGCCACGCGCGACAATTTGTGAACGCGTCCGTGGCGCGGAACGAGCGGGGCAGGCGGTGGCGGGCTGGGTCGGTGCGCTGCGCGGCTGGGACCAGAGGGGTGGCGCGTGACTGGCGTCGAGGCGGGACAGGGTGCGGCGGGAGCAGGAGCGAGGGTGGGGTGGGGACGGGGTG